TCCTAGTATGATCATAACATCATCCGGGCCGTCTGGTTTGACGGAGTGGCCTCCGATATGGAACCTCACCGGATCGTCCTGGCGGTTTGAGATGACTTGGGTCTTTTTGGCATTTATCTTAAGGCCTATCTCAAGCAAACGGCGTTCGAGTTCGGCAAGAATCTGCTGGACGTATTCATGGGACTCGCCCCATAAGTACGTATCATCCATGAAGGAGGCCCCCGAATGGGGTGGTGGGCCGAGGGCCTGATGCCTGCCAACATGGGGAGGCGACCCCTGGTTCACGCTCGCCAAAGTGGCGTCGAGGACTTCCCCGATCTCAGCGGCAAAGAGCACGGGGCTATCAGGGCTCCCCTGTCGGACCCCATTGGACTGCTCGACCCCAACCTGATGCTTATGAACGAAAAATTGGATTTCTCGCGCTTCTAACAAACTAAACCAGAGCTTGGCCTCCCACGGCATGCCTCCTTGTTTGGCAATACGCCGCATCACGAGTTCACCTAGCTTTTCCTGGGCTACTGAGTCGAAAGCCTTTGCAATGTCGATTTTTACGATGTAAAAAGGCGTATTCCACTCATGGGCAACTCGTGCGAGCTTCCGGAGGCAAAGAACCAGTTCAACGCCCTGTTTGCCTTTGCTTGCCCACTGACGGTGGCAACAATGCTGCAGGAGGGGGACTCCCCTGAGTAGCAGCAGCTGTGATGTCCACTTGAGCAGAGCACTGGAGAGTGTGATTGGTCGTGTGTCCGACCACGAAAGCGGCTGCACACATTTCGGTAAGAGGACCGATGCCCCTTGCATGATCAGCGGAGGGAGCTCCCCCTTGTAGAGGCTATCGTTGAGGAGTTCCGCAATCTTGGGGCGCCAGGCGGGGTGCTCAAACATGAGCCTGAGAGCCTCTAGAGCAATGCCATCCGGACCTGTTGCACGGTGGTTCTTCCACCGGGCCATGGTGATACGCATCTCCGCCTCGGTAAAGGGGCGCCATGGCGAGCGTTTGCACAGAACAGCGGCCTCAGCATGAAGCAAGTTCATGGCCGTCCGCGTGTTGGTCGGGGCGGCTTTGCAAAAAATACCCCGCATGTGGGTAGTGAGCTTGGATGACCAGGCAGGGTCATCGAGCAGAAAATCGGCCCAATTTGTCTTGGAGTCTTTCTGCTTGAGCGAACGGAGAGCGTCCCAGTTGTGCTCTCCGGCCTTGTCGGCAAGCTGCCGCTTCCAGGCTCTGCGCTCTTGCTGCAGCGTTTTGTGCACAAGCTTCCAGGCCTGGCGTGCGGGAAGCCCCGGATCAAGGTCCCTGGCTTCACGCCGCATGCGCTTAAGGGAGCTGCTCTCCTGAAACTTCAGGGACCTGTGCACTGGCTCGGTAATAACCTTAGCTGCGGCGGCGATTGAGGCATGCAGGTCTGCCTCCAGCGGGCAGTGCATCTGGAGCTTGGTTTCGGCCCCGGACACGAGTTGGCGCGCGCACCAAATAACCCCTATTTTGGGTGGCTTCTTAAGGGGTACCCGGAGACAACACAGGATGGGCTCATGGTCGGAACTGGCTCTGTCTCTGTGTTTCCCGACCTGCACATTAAGTACATGAATCCCCCGTGTGGCAACATAATCAAGTCGGCGGGGTGACATTGTGGGATTATAGGGAAAATAGGACGGCTGGTCAACTGCTTGCATTGGCAATGCGAGCTGTTGTTCAAGGCACCACTGCAAAATCTGCTCCCCACGGCCTGTGCACGAGAGAGTGCTTCTGCCGAGGTGCCCCCCGGGTTGGAGAAACGTCTCATTTGCGTCCATGCCGAGAAGGATTCTCTCGGCTTGGAGGCTCGGTGTCACTGCCCAGTCAGCAAGGCAGGCAGCTGTCTGAGCAATGGTGAATCTATGGGAAATATGTCCCGAAACAAGTCCCAAAATGCGGTTGTCATGGCAGCGCAGGTTAACACATGTGGCAGCTTTGCAAAGGCGAGTGTTTTCATGCGTCCCCAAAATCTTGGCAAAAGCAACAGCACAACCCCTCCACTCATTTGTCAGCTTGCCGTGGATCAAGATCCACGTCTCATTCTGATCGAAGTTGGGCCCTCCGTCGGTCGTGATCTCTTGGAGAAGGACGATCTGAAGGCGCTGCAGTTCGGGCGTACCCCGAAAGTTGGCGAGCAAGTCCAGAGTTTTTTCCGGGCTCAACCCCCCGACATTCCAGGCAGCACAATGCAAGGCGGCAGCCTCATCTTGAGGCATGCTCTCGCTTTCTCTCTTTCTCTCTCTTTCTTTCTTTCTTTCTTTCTTTCTTTCTTTCGCCAGGGTTGTGGTGCAGAGGTCGCCCCTCTCTCTCTCTCTCTCTCTCGGCATAGGGGCATGTCAAACCTCCCGGGCATCATGCCCACCCAATGTTTGATCAGGTAACAGCAGGCTAAAGCCATAAATACTACGTTGACGAAGGAATGATGATTGTACACTCTCCACAGCACATGCGTGGACAGACGTCAAATAATCCTTTCATGATAAACAACCATATATCATATGTAATGCCAATAACAGCACGAAGGTCATTGACGTCCCCCGGTTACTTTTTAGCACTCGCACTCGACGCCGCAGGCAAGGGTTGGGGAGAATCCTAGTTTCAGACGGCAGAGCTCGTTGGCTCCAAGGAGGCAGTAACCTAGCAGTTGCGAACAACTGAAGCGGTGTATCCTACATTTTCACTTACAGGGATGTGCCTGTGCAAGTTCAGCACGTGTTGTGATAGGCAATGTTTGTCACCATTATGCCTCCCTCTCTCTCTCTCGCGCCTGGGGATGCTTGGCCCGAAGGCCGACTCACGGCGCGCAACACCGTGTCTGTTCGGCCCCTATTCGGGGAAGGAAAGAAATGCTCCCCGGAGTGCTTGTGTTTGACCCCACGTCGAACCACCCCTCTGCTAAACCCATTCAAAAACCCTTGCCCGTGCCCATATATCACTTGGGTCATCCACTCCTTCAAGTCACTAGGAAGGGCTGGAACATTTGTGTCGCTCTCTTTTTTTTCCCTTCCTTCCTTCCCTTGCCTTTCCTTTCTTTCTTCCTTCCGTTGGGTGCAGGTCCGCACAAGCAGACCCGTGCCGCGGCACCACCCCCTCCCTCTTTGGTTGGTGAGAGAAAAAGCTTTGGGTCCACGGAATACATTTGATGCCTTCGAGGGGGGGGGTGGGAGGTACGGGTACAATCGGCTGTCGCGGAACCTTCCCCCAAACTCTGAACACTACCTGCATCTCGGCCTGATCACCGCGCCCTCTATGGCAAGTCCTCGAACCCTCGACAACCAACTTTCCCCTTATGCTGCCTACGGTCTGCGGCTTCGCGGCTTTGCAAGCAACTGTGTGCAGTGAGCTCAGACCAGGACTGGGATGACAGTGGACGAAGACCATGGTTGTTCAGGACAGATTGTATACTGCAGTGGGGGTCGCTCGCTGTGGTTCCCCACCTTGCAGCACCAACACTCAACACAGACCAAGTAGTTGAACGAGTACTGATGATTCCCCCCTGTTGACCTGGTGCTGTACTGGACCCACCTGTAGACCGGAAAATGCAGGCCACAAGTGATCGCAGTTTGTTGCGGGCTCCCCAAGTGCTGGAAAAGACCTTGTGTCGGTATGTGTTGCTCACGCAAGTCCATGGGTGCACTTGCATAAATTTGGCTTTGGGGGTCCCCACTTCAGGAAGCAAAAACAGCAACAACACACCATGTAGATGAGCGAGTGCCGTTGGTTATCCCTCTTTGTGTTGCCACTGTGCTGGGGCCTGCTTGCTGAGAACACATACATGTATGTGTGAATGTATGAATGCATGTCTGTGAATATATGAAAATATATACACGCATGTGCATACATGTGTATCTACATATATACACAGGTACGCATATACATATGCACACAGTGCCTCGCTGTGTATATACATGTGTGTAAATGCACGTGTGTACATATACCGAGAAAGATACATATGTAGGTAAAGATATACACTGATATACATACAGATTTTTGTTCTGCACACACACATGCACGCACACACGCGCAGACGCAAACACATACGTTTACATGCAATTCTTACATTTCGTACATCACATACATTACCTGCATTACGTGCCTTACAGAATATTGCATCACATTCCATTGCGGTACATGCATACATGCATACATACAAACATGCCTACATACACACACACACACATATACATACATACATACATACATACATACATACATACATACATATATACATACATACATGGTAAGAGTGTTTTTTTTGTTGCTGCATTTTTTTGCTGTTGCTGCGGGGGGGGATTTTTGTTGTTGCTGCAGGGGGGGTGTTTCTTTGTGTTGCTGCGGGGGGGTGATTTTTGTTGCTTGCTGTTGTTGTGGGGGGGTGTTTTTTTTTGCTGTTGCTGCCGGGG